AGTGGCTAGCAAGATGCCAAAACATCATCTGATGCCTCTAAACACTAATTTACCACACAGGAAATTATAGAGTAGCAGTACTAGAAAATTTGAGTGAAATTAGCTGTTATTTTTTACTCTTTTTTTGAACTCTTCCTTGAGTTCAAATCAGAAATGTTGCAGAACTATTGAATCTAAAAAAAAAAAAACTAAATCTGTGAGTTAGAAAGGTGCTTTATTTTAAAGAATTTCATGAAATCATGTTTTTCTTTCACTTACATACTAGACATGTTTTGAGTGGGGAATACAGCATTATTACAACAGAAGGAAAAAGGAGAACAGGAAGGGGTTTACAGTGACACCTACATTATTTTCCTCCAGGTTACTGTGAAACTGAATAATGGAATCAGGGATTTTTCAACTTCAGTGACACTGAAACAGAGTCTCTGCGATGGCAGGTGGCACCGAATTGCAGGTCAGTAAAACACGATCATCTCCTACGTAAGGTGACAGAGCCCCGTTCTCCCTCGCCAGATATCCATTTCCATGGGCTAGTGCACTGGGAATAGGGTCATATTTTCAGTTCTTCCTTTTCATCTGTCAGGACACAAGTTTGTGTGAAAGACACAGTCGTATTCATCCCTCAGATATAGGAACGCTAGAGCTTCCTGGAAGGACAAGCACAAGTTTCTACGAAGAACAAGATGGAAGCTCCTTGTTCAAAGAACAAAAGACAGCCTAGCTGAAATGCTGGCAACCTTTCCTAAGTCGTATAACAGATTATATTCTTCTTTTCCCAATTAGAGGTTAAATAAGTTGGTAAAATGTAGTAGACGCAAGTATATGCTGCCCTTAAAGGTCAAATAACAGGACAGATCTGGGAAGCCCCTGCCCCACAGAGAGAGATGTCTACAGTCAGGATTTTGCCTCTGTGCCAGACAGCCATCCTTCTCTCCTGGGTTTGAAAGTCAAAAAGTCTCAGGTTCTTTGAACTCCCTTATCTTCCTGTCTAGATGCTCACTTGGGATGTCTCCCAGTGTCACATCCAGAAGAGATTTGAGTGTGCACCCTTTCCCCATGCATTCTGGTTTCCTTCTGAAGGAAACCCAGGCACACAAGCAAGGAGGAAATCTCACTGCATTCTAGTATGTCCCCTATTGGGAATGATTTGGCAAAGAGTTTTTCTAACCCACACGCCATTGTATGCTCATACCCTGCAGCCTAGACACAGCTGCCAGCAATCAAGAGCCCCACTCAGAAGCATCCTTGCTCCCACACTGTATCTTCCATTGGCCCTGCTCAATGCCAGAATCTGCCCACATACTGTCACTGGTACTGATGGCTCACACCCAACCTAGCAAACACTAAATTAAACTACTCAGGTCAAACAGAAAACGCTTGTCTGTCATAGAAAACTCACGTGCTACTTCTTACAATCTTCTTGATCCCTGTTCCTTCTCCTTTCAGTTATTAGAGACGCTAATGTGGTGCAACTGGATGTAGACTCTGAAGTCAACCACGTGGTAGGGCCACTAAATCCAAAGGCAATTGACCACAGGGAGCCAGTGTTTATTGGAGGTGTACCGGGTAAGTTTTTGGCAGCTTTGTGGTACGTCGTTCTCAAATTTCAACACGGTTTCCAGAGATAGCATAGAGACTTAGTTTTCATTTCAAAAAATAACAAAACATATCTCATGTGAACAACCTGATAAAATTCAAAGGCTCAAGAGCTGATCAGAAATGTTCTGCCTCAAGTTCTCAAAGAAAAAAGCGCTACTTCGTTGAAATTAAAACATTCACAGTTGCTGGAGGGTCAGATATGGACTCAGTAGAGAAGACAGATAGCTAGAAAAAAAAATCGCTTTTTTTCCACTTTAGTCTCCAGTACTTTCTAGTATGGGCTTACTGTTTTTTTAAGAAGTGATTGATTTATTTATCTATGGGACTGGAAACTCACTGTCACTGTAACTGGAGTCTCAGGATTTTGTTGCTGGTAGGCTTCTTTCTTCTTCTTCAAGCAATGGCATCTTGGAACACAAGACAAAACATGAAGATTCTTTTTCTGACTAGTGATTTCTATTGCACAGATGTCTGCTAATGTGAATTTGTGACTCACAGACCATCTGTGTAGCGTGGGCCAAGATTACTACATTTACTTCCCTTATTCAACAGACAGAGCTACTCTGTTGGGGTTCATATACAAACTGTAATCAACACTACGTGATTCAATTTTTAAGTCACCTCCTGTACATTTCTCATTGAAAACATGCAGAATTATTTCTCTGTACCTTGCATGTCAATCATGAACAGCTCTAACTACAAAATTTATTATATTGCTTATCTTGGATTAGTGGCTTGAGTGCATGATGTTCTCATCCATCCCACACTACCAGGAGGAAAAATGAGCCTAAAGGGAATAATAAAATCTATGTGCAGATGCCTGTTCACTCTTTAAATCCAAACTGGAATTTTATTAGGACAGAACTCTTCCCAGAGAGGTAATATAAAGTGGTAACTGCAAATGCTGTCCTGCTTCATAACAGAGCCTTCTATTTCTACATTAATTATAGAATACTAAAGCAATGACATACATTGGCTCTATAATGCTATTATCACCCTGGCACAGAAAAATCTTACAATGAACTTCACAACAAGCAAGATATAGTACTAACTAATACCATGTAAATATAGTAAACTAAATGCAACCTAACAAATCAGACACAGATGACAATACATGTAATGTTAAAAGAAATTACAGACACGCACCCTGGGATTCATCTACTCTGCTACTTAAAAGAAAATGCAGTTGTTAAAAAATGCAAGATTGGGCCTCTATTGACAATGTAGTATCAAGAGTTTCACATAAATGTAGGTAACTCCTCATACCAACTCTAATGGCCTCCAGGACACTGGCAGTAGGCCAGACATTTTAAAAGACTCACAGAAGATTCAGCAGAGCTGCAGTTAGTAGCAAATTGAAAAGATTCTGCCACCAAACTGATTATTTTGGTCATCATGAGCTCTAATTTTTTTTTTTTTTTAAATCTGCTTCTTCCAGAGTCTCTGCTAACATCCAGCCTGACTACACGCAACTCCTTCATTGGCTGCATTCGTAACTTCATGATTGATGAAAAACCAGTGAGTTTTAGTAAAGCAGCTTTGGTTAGTGGTGCTGTAAGCATCAACACATGTCCAGCAGCCTGATAGTGCACTGCATCAATCTTGTAAAGTTCCTTAGACCACAGAAAGAAAAACAGAACAAAAGAAACCGTGTTCATCGAGAGAAGAATGAAAATATCAAGGATCCATGTACAGAAAGCAGTATGTTTAAGGGTCACTTCTAATGTTTATGTGCCAACAAAAATCACTGAAGAATAAAGGGCTGTTGCTTCTGCACTTCTCTTACTATACCACAAGAGTGAGCTTTACCATTTCTTATAGTGTACGTGTGGCCAGCCTGTTATGTGAAAATGTGAGATTATAAAAGAAATGAAAATTATATTAAATATGTTACTTTCAAGATAGATCCTCCACATCATTTCGTTCCATACCTTAGGTTACCCTCTGTTTCGCAGGAAAAGATCTGCTAATGCACATTAAAGAATAAAGCTAGATAATAGACTTACATGGCAAATAACTGTCTTCAAAGATATATTTTTTCTTTTAATTTTCCATTCAACTCATTTATATATTCCTCAATTAAAATGGCGGGCAGAGAGCATACCAGTTATGTAAGCTTACAAACAATGAAAAAGTAGAATTTTTATTCCACTTCTAGACTTCATGAATATGTTCTAGCACAACATGAAGATAGGATGTGTATCTTTTAAGACAGACACTTTATATAACTTATCACTTACCTAAACTAGGTAATTTTAGAGCAATACTTGCCTTACGTAGGAAGGGAGAGAAGAGAGAAAATTCAAAATTTCAAGTTTTTTCTCTAAATTTTTAAATGCACTTACATACAAACACAGCACTAAATCCACAATCTGATTGTGATCTCATTTGCACTAATATAATACAAGTAAACACAAAGCATAGAAAGCAGAATCATAGTCACAGTTTCAGGCAAATCCTTTATCACATAAAATCATCACTTCCTTGTGAGACTGCTGCAGGACTTCATTTTACAGCAGTAATCCTCAAACTAGGAACATGTTCCTGTGGAATGTATCCCCGAAGATACGCTGCTGCAGAGGAACTGGGGTTGAAATAGGAAGATGTAAACAGAAGGCAAAGGGCTGCAAATCTGAGCTATGTTAAAACCATAGAAGGTAGATGGAAGTTAATACTAGGCTTTAGCTCACAGTAGGCTTGAACATCAGTTGCAAAACTTAGTCTCTTCAGTGATAACCTACAAGGCATCAAAGCCATTTAGGTTTCTTTTCTTTAAAGAATAAACTACTGTTCACAGAAAGTTTTATGATTGCTGGGCAAATTATTGTTGGAACCAACTCAAAATATGACCAGCTGCAAAGCTGGAAAGGACAACACCCTCCAGACTAAAAATTAATAGGTGCTTGTCTGGAAAACATACAAGTGACAACTGGAATCCAAAGATCTTGAAGCTGGAGGAACCACCAGAATAAGATACATGTGTCAGCACTAATCAGTAGCTTCCCTACTACTCTCTCAGTAGGAAAAGGGTTTTGACAGATTGAAGCGGTCTTGGCTCACTCCGGATAAAGAATTGCAAGCTGTGGACAGACTGGCACAGGGACTCTCTGGCAGCTGGGACCCCATCACTGCGTCTCCACTTGTCTCTAGAGTCCAGTGTCGGCTGGTGAGTGGACGAGAGAAGATAGCGTGGCTCCAGCAGCCACTGCCTCTCCTTCCACCAGCCTTGTCAGCTCTGCTCATGCTTTCAGCCCCATGCCTGTTCCAACTGCCTTCTCCTGGACACATCTCCCATTCTGTACTCTGCAACTCACAGGCAATATGCTCCCAGGACTGATTCCCTTCCCAATCACATAGGGAGGCCCCCTACTTCTGGGAGTGGTATATAGCCCCCTCTTTTCGCCATTCCACAGCCCACTGTTCACAGTTCAGAAGCAAGCAGTAAGAATACCCCTCTGCAGTCTCTCTGAATCAAGCACATCATGGGTCCCCAAATCCTGTTGCCTTCAAGTGCCATCTTTGTCTCGGATACCAAAACCAGTATGCCTGCTCAACTCTTTCCTGCTTCCAGCTACTACCCAGACTCTGAACAGAAAACATTTAGGGCTTTTGGTTTGGGAATTTTTTTATTATTGGGGTTGAGGGGGAATGTGCTCAGATCACTGAGCTGGGTTCCCAGTGGGTACCGGACGCCATGCATGGTGTCAGGGCTGTGCAGCTGGGAGCAGGGGTAAAAGAGGAAATCTCTCTCCTTCCAGTGGCAGTGAGTTGTTAGATTGGCTCAATCAATCTCATGACACCACAACCTGAGCTAAGCTTCCTCAGGCCCTGGTCTCCAGGACCCTATTGCTGGAGAGAAAAGAACAGCAGATTCCCTGCTTAGACAGGTTCGTTACAAGGATTACTGAAATTCCTTTCAAGGTTGTCTGCAGCTGCTAAGCAGAGATAGCCAGGAATGGCATATGCTTGTGCCCCCTAAAAGCATTACAGTTTAGTGAATTCTGGTATTAAGTGGAGCATTGTACGTTAACTGGTACACACATACTCAGAACGTTTTTCCATTTCACACCTACTTCAAACTAAAGTATATTTTCTCATATCCACATCCAAGCTCTGTGAATAAACAGTATTTTTCTTAGACATATTTGCTGCAGTGAGATGTGTTTTTGTTCAGTGGATTTACATTTAAGAATGACTTTTCTGATTAATCAGTCCTTTGCATACTTTATAATATGGAAAACTAAAAATACAGTAAAATAGTACGTGAATAAAAAACATATTAAAATCCATAAACTGCTACCATTCAATTTACTTCTCTTTACTGTATCACTAGCTAATCAAACACAGCAGTATTTGTGGAGAATATCTTCCTCAATTTCCCTTTCTATGCCTCAGAGATGCAGGTTTTCCCTCTGCAGAACAGGGTTTCCAAAGAAAAATACTGTAAACCAAAGGATACTTGCAGACTTGGGAGAGAGCAGAGAATAATGCAAATTTCCCTGCCCCCAACAGCCACATGGACCTTGAAATTACCATTCCATATGCACCCAAGAAAGTCTGTATGTGACGCATTACATTGCACACACCTCCACATTCATTTCAAACCTCCTGGTGTTTAAGAGAAGGCAACTGCCTAAGCAGAAATCTTCCCAGAATTCAATTTGTCTTTTGTATCTATCTTAAAACTTGTAGCTCCAAAGTACAAAACTCTTCATCTACAAAGATTTGGGAAAAAAACTCCAAGTTCTGAGGTACACTGTCAGATTGTCCGTTTGCATTTTAATATGAATTTAACTATCTCAATTCTGCAGAAAGCCTACCAAACAATGAGCACTCACCCTAAGGATATTATAGCTTTTCTCTGCCACCTTCAAGGTTTTAATAAGTGTTGTTATAGCCATTATCTAAATCAGGGTTACAACTACACTGTTATTATATCATGGAATATTCTGAAATTTGACATTTGCATGGTTATGTAAGAAAGAATGCAATTTCAAGTTGAAATACTCAACAAACTGCTTCAAAATAGAGTATTTAATTAGGATCTCTGGCCCCTCTACCTCTTATTTCTGAAGATCTGTAGAGATCTCCCATAGTTAAAGGTTCTTATCAACCTTTCCTTCTCCTCAAGGATCAAGAGTATGGACAATATCCTGAAAAGGAAAATGAAAGATGAAGGGTTACAGGTCTGACAGTAACTCCTCAAAAGCCAGCCATTTTAAGTTAAAAAAAAAAACAAAAAAAACAAACCTTCATATGTGAATTAAGCCCTGATATAAATCAAAGAATAACATTAGTTCAATTTCCAGTGCATTCTCCCTACAGCAGCATGTGGCCTCAATAGTGAAATGACTGTCATTAAAAAGATGCTGAAAGCATAGCACATATATTTACGTTGTGATGTACATTTGGCTCTTTTTGTGGTTGGTATTTAAGGGTTATTCACAGATTCACAGTGGTCCATGTCAACTCATCTCCTCTCAATAACATAGTAAGTTATTCCTACAATTCAATTACTCAATAAATTTTCCAAAGCTGTGGAACGCTATTACCGTATAGCGTCAACAACAAAAAGTTACTGAGAAAGTAAGGGTAAGAAACACACGTTAGCATAAGACTGTTGATTAAATGACTAACATAGGCAAAAAGTCTCTGAGCAGACCTGACTAGATTCATGCATTTATACTATGGTAGATGAAGTACAGCTTCATCTACAACGAAACAGAAAGTCAGTGTGTGATTATTTCTTTCACAGTTGAGCTGCCTGTTTCATTAAACCTCTGAGCATATGCACCAAGCCAAACTGGTTATTACGCATGCATTTCCTGCCCTTGGACCTCCTTGGGAAGCCAAAAAATATTCCCACATGAATATGAATCTCAATTGCATCTGTGATTCACAGTGTTTCCACGCTCAGTGAGAATAATCACTTTACTTTTGCCATCACAGACCTCCTAATAGCATATTGGAAGTCAAAGCACGGGGTTTCTTGAAGCAATCTCATGTTCAATGGAGCGAATCCCATTAAGCTGAATCTTGATGGGACATAGAACACAAAAACTACAGCTAACTGAAAGAACAAGTAGCAAGTGTAGCTAACTACACAAGAAGAAAGCAAGCCAGATACAGTAATATTAAGCGATTTCTATAGACTTTAAATTAAGCTTTAGAATGCTTACAAGCAATGTTGTACTGCTTTTAGCCTAAGTAAGTCCAAAAAGACATGTGAAGAGAAGACTTAAGGACATGACGGCAGGCAAGAAGTATAGAAACAGTTTCACATCTAGCAGCTAGAACAGACCACAGCCTACAGGTTTGGACCAGTTCAGGTAACCACAGGGAACAAAATTAAGCTACAGGTTACATCTAGTCTGTCCAGAGAGAGATGAGAAAGTCTAGCTGCTTTCCTGATTAATATTCACGTAGCTTTACACTGGTGATTAGTTTATAAAAGAAGTGTTTGAGGCAGTATTATTCTATTCATGCTACACTTTCCACCTGCCTATAACACCGAAGCCGTTGGTCCTTTGCAACTTCAAACGTGAAGCTTGAGTAAGCTTGAGCCACTCATTACTTTTTCTTAAGAACAATACGGATTTCCAGCAGGTTGATTCTCTTTCAATTAAGTTTTAAAAAATTAGTCTTGATACGTACTTCTTATATATAATGCATTACTATTATTGTATTTGCTGCAATACATAGTTAATCTTTCCAGGAAAGTTTTTTAAAATAGTCACTTAGTATAACTTTATTTTTCTGGGGACTTATAAGTGATCTCTACAGGATCCTAGGTGATGTCCAGGAGTCAGCACCATGGTTTCTCCAGAGCAAATAAAGGATTAAGGTACACTGAACTTCAGATTCCTATTAAGAATTTCATTTAGCAAATTTTGTTTGCACACCAGCACTAGAAATAATATCTTCGGAAAAAACGTATTTCGTTGGATAGTTTTAGCCATAAAACCTAATGAAGGGGGTTGCATGGAAGTACTTTTGTTCTCCCACAGGAAGCAG